ACATATATATCATTCTGCTCCCATATATAATCACATTAAAAATAGAAAAGAAATTTTTTTCAAATAGAATATGACTAGTCAATGGATGTATGACTCAAAAAGGAGAACTCTGAATAAGAAAGGATATTGATCTATATAAGAATAACAAAAAATGGAAACAAAAATAAAAATAAAATTAAAATTCTAGAAATAAAAACCTAAGGAGACATTAAAGGGGAATTGAACTTGTATTTTATACTGATATGTTTTCAAACACATATTTACATAAACATATGTGTGAACGTGTATATTTGAGTGTGTCTTTATTTTATTGAACAATTCCCTAGAAAAATAAATATTCTTCATAATATTATATGTTGTAAGGGTCACGGCTCACGATTTTTATATGAAAGAGTATAAGAAAATTTATACTTCTTTTTTTTTTTGTTGTATAGAAAATGTTAAGTAATTTTAATGAAATGATCAATAAAGAGTTACGAGTATAATAGTAAAATAAAAATAAGAGTAAATGGTCAAACACTATATGTATAAGGATATCGATATCGAATTCAAATTTCAAAAGAAACGAACGTCAGGTCGAAGGGTAGTTTAAAACTATTGTATTAGGGCACACCAGATTGCAATATGGAGAATAAACACGATTAATTATAATAGCTTTGTTCGTTTACAAAAAATTTACGTAAATTCATTCAAGACAAAAAATAATTCTTTTATTCGGAGAAATTGTGTCTGACTTAAATATGGGTACTCAAGAGAAAATAGAGAGAAATTAGTCACCACAACTTACAAATATTGTAGGTGGCTCTCCATTTTTGAAATTTGTACAAATAAATTTTTTATTTCTGAAATTATTTGGCAAAAATTTGTTGATGTTTATTTTCCGTTGCTCATTTGCCTAAATTTTTGAATTATTCTTTGCAAATATAAAAAAATGTTCGCCTCTCTTGCGATTAGAAATTTAAATTATTTCTCCTCTAATAATTCTCTTGAATTTTGAACTGTTTAATTAAATGATTTTCGTAGAACAATTCAATTTCAAGTTGCTGTAAAGAGAATATTGTATTAAGCTATTTTGGCAAAGTGTGATAAAAATAAAGGAAAATGGTGTACATACATAATGTGAAGACTATGTTAATTGCTATTTATTATAACTTGGTAAATAGATTGAAATTAAAATACAATTTGGAATCACATTGAAATGGCTGTCTGTGATACCCTTACATAATGTGGGTACAAAAAAATATCACTCATTATTGTGAATTATTTGTAAAAAATTCTTGTATAATATCAGAACGTGATGACTGATATAAATCGTTTTACTTATTTAAAATCGATATTTTACTATTATTTATGATTGCAGTAAACATAAACAAAACAACTAAAAATACATACATATATAATTTTTTATTATTTCTTTCTTATTTAAATTTAAAAGGATTTTGAAATTTTCGAGTTGATTACAATTTGTATGCATGTTATTTGTATACATAATATTTTATTAAATTATTTCATTTCGTTTTAGCATTCATTTCGATTTATTTCTCATAAATTTTGTAACACTTATACTTACTATATGCTTTAAATTGGATAAAATATATTTTGAATCAAAATAAATGAGTGTTCATTTATAAAAATACAAAAAGAAACAGGATAGTTTGCAATTTTATTTCATTCATGCATTATTGTATTAAGTAATTTTTATAATTTATTAAGGTATACGGTTAGGTAATAGGTGAATAGCCACGAGGATGTGTGTATCAAATTTCTTATTATAATTAAAATGAATTGGAAAATTTCATGAGTTTCTTCTTGTGTTTCTTGTATACCTAGTATTTTTTTTTTGTGTAATTTAAAGGATAATGAAACTAGCACATAATAATTAATCTATTGTGATTTAATTTGATTATAACAAAAGAGTAAGGAGAAAAATGAAAATATGGTAGTGAATAATATAAATAATTAAAATAAATGATATTTGCGGTAACACTTATATAAGGCAACATAATAGAGTCAATCTAATAAAATATTGTGACATGTAAAAATTTTGAGCTATAAGTAATGGTTTTCCAATATTTTTTATTTTAAAATATTTATAGTATTATGGAGCTAAGAAAATATGTAAACAAACTCTGCAATAGGTTTGTGCGTAACAGTGCAATAGGTTTTTCATCTTACAAAGTTGTCCATAATTATGCACTTTATTATATATGAAAATAGTAACCAATGTGCACAACAGTTGCCAATATTTTTATATATGATGCACCGGTGTAAAATTTTTGCACTGATCTACAACTAAAATGCACGAACTGTTAAATACGGTAATAGTAAATTATTTACAAATATTTTGTAGTGTTTGTAAAAGATATGAAAATTTGAAATTGGCGAAACTTGCATATATATATAAATTTCGCTCTTATTAAATTTTTGAACTCATTTGTTCTCGACTGTTATCTATTATAAATGATACCTTTGTTTTGTCATAATTTTTGGTCGTTTATAACGATATATTCATAATTTTATTGTAATATCTTTTATTGTAATATAAATGATACCTTTGTTTTGTCATAATTTTTGGTCGTTTATAACGATATATTCATAATTTTATTGTAATATCTTCAGTAATACAAATAAGCACTTTATTTTGAATAAATATTATGATTATATCCCATATTTAAAGTCCAAATTCTCCAAGTGTTCTTAAATCAAATATCGTTCAGCTTTCAATTCATTAGAAAATCAGTTCTATATTAGCGTATCACACATAACCTAAAAATATATCATTAATTTTGTATAATTAAATAGTTAGATTATTTTACTACATAACCAAATTAAATCAGTTAAACAATATGATTGTGTTATTACAATCAATTGCAGTTTCTATGACTTAATTATCAAATTTCAATTCAAAATATAAAAAAAAAAATTTAAATTTATCAAATTAAATATTATTATATAATAATTGAGTTTGAAGCTCTACATCATATGATAAAGGGCAAATCACATATCTGCAACTATAACTATATAAACACAAATGCATATGAATATTTTAATCAAACTGGATTTCTAGTACTATACTGTATTTTTAAAGTCAAAAAGAAATCATTGTCCTTATCAATTTAAATTTATAAGCGTGTAAATGGTAATCTATTTAGAGTATTTAGAGTATTTTTATGCATGATAAATTTTTCCTTATTTTCTTGCTGTTCTCTTGTTCTTGCTGTTTTTTCTTATTTTTTTTTATAATTTAGCAGTAATACAAATTCTAAGATGCTGAATTACATTATGTACATAGATATTGTATATATGTATATAAATGAGCGTTGACTTCATTTTATTTCGATAAGAAAAAATTACAGAAAATGAAATGGTCCGAAAATTATTTATGACTATATGTACATAGAAATTTTAAAGTATAAATTCAAATCAGATGAATTTTATTCATACGTAAGTGAGTGCAATCATTATGAAAGTCAAATGTGTTATATTAGAAGTGGATATTATTATTCTAGTACATAGATTACTCTTTATACAAGTTAATTTAGATTTTAAAATTTTCTGTTTACATAGAACATTTCTTGTCTTCTTTGAATGCAAAATGGTTAAAAATGTTCATCGTTTTATTAACTAGATTTTATTATCCCTCTGAAAATTAGCAAAAATGTAAATTCGGCTCCACCTGCTGACACCTGAGTTTTACCAACTGCTGACACCTGATTTCTTCAAAAATTTAGGTGACTTGCTAAAATTTTGGGAAAATTCAAAATTAACAAATACATAGTATCGGTTCGTAGCAACGATTCGGGAGACTGACGGCGCAGAAAAATGCAATTATATCGAATGCTTGACTAGCGAAATTTGGAGACTTTACATAATTTTCCTTGTAAAAATATAATGCATTAAATAAGAAGCCCAATTTCTTTTTTCAATTTGATAGGAATCGACCGAGTATAGCTCTCATATTATGTTTTAATTTCCTTCCTGTATATTGTGCTGATAGCTGAATTGAAATTATCATGAATATTTGAAATTGTAGAATTATATACTTGTACAACAATATTTTTCATGTTTCGCTGAATTTCGTAAAAATTTGATTTTCCAAATTATCGTATTTTTGTTTAAGGCATCGTGTTTGAATTCGTTCTGAACACCAATCGAATTCAATTCGGCAACTATTATGGTCCAATTTTTTATTTGAATTGCACTGTAAATAAATTTCATTGAACTGAAAACTTTATTTAAATGTGAAATATTTTAAATGAGTAATCTAAGTTTCAAGCTGTACTTTTCGTTCTTAATATTATGTTATTATTTTTTGTGTTTCAAAGAATTATGCGAATAAAAAAATGTTGAAAATATTATTATAATTATTTTTCGTTTGTAACGTAAACCATTTATTATAAGTTTTGAAGAAAATTTTTTTAAAAGGGTTCTTTCCAAAAACTGATGATATTTTCATTGTAGTATTCTTCTAACACATACATAGAACAAAAAATTAATTGAAGGTAAGAATACAACTTTAAACAGCAAATTTTTAAGTTAAATTCGGAAATGATTCTGAAATCTTAAAAATTTGCGTTATAATTAATTTAATTTGCAGAATTAATTTTGTTAATCGTAAAATTTGCAGGTAAAGGAAATCAAATAATCAATGATGGACAATGATGGAATTGGTAAAAAAATGTATAAAAATGAAGAGAACTTTCAAATTTCCGAATTCCAAAAATTGCAACATTGCTATCCGATAGCTCTATTTCTTCACAAAACAATATCAAAACATTATTCTAGTATCAATGTAAAATAGAAGAAAAAAATTAGTTGAATGCACTGCTGTAAACTAAATAGTAAAAAATTTTTGATAATTTTTAAGTATAAAATTTTTATATTTTAATTTCTTTCTATCAGTTAGTTTATAAAATTTGTTAGAATAAGTACAACTGCGCGGTGTAGTACATAAACAAGGAAAAAAATATTTTATAAAAACCTTTTAGAATGGCAAAATTATTAATTTTTCAATTAATTTTAATTAATTTAACAATAGTTCATATAAATCAAATGATTTTAGCTACAGAAATTTCAGTAAATGAAGATATCGATTTAAAATCTCATAGCGTACCAACACTTATAATTTCGGAAGATGCAGTTAATATTACTGAACAGCCGGTTGTTACTCAGACCACTCAAACTAAAAAACCAGTAACGAGTAGAAAACCTCCATTTCAACCTGTTCAGAGTAAGTTTTGTTTTTTTGAATTTATTTTTGTGTATATTGGAATTTTAGTAAATTTTATTTTAACCAATGTAATAATATATTTCAGATATTTCTCGGGAAGAGAAAATTATTGTAAGAAAATTATCTACAAAAAGAATGATAAAACCTACTGCTCCTGGTATGTAAAATTTTAAATTGTTATTATTACTAATTATGTAATATCAATTAATTTTAAAATTGTGTATAACAATAATAAATTACTTTTTTGCTTGGCTTTCATATTGGGCATCTATCAAAATGCAGATCTAATATCAATTATATGTTGTCTAATATCAATTTGATTTATTCAGCAATACAATTTCAATCGCTGAATAAATCAAATCGACTTTAGATCTGCATTTTCATAGACACCCATTGAGAGCTTGTTTAAAGCGATCTTAGCATATTGCCAATAATATTAAACATATTGCAGTTCTAAGCTTTCATATTAATATAAAATTAAAAAATATTTTTCAGCTAAAATTACATGTCATTCAGGAATGCATGATTGGTGCGATAAAGGATGTAAATTGAATGGTCGAAGTTCAGGAAAATGTACTCATGAGAGGAAACCATATTTTTGCTTGTGCTCCTAAAATTTTTTATTTATATGAAGTATCTACATATTATGTGGAAGTTATAAAAATTTAAAATCTGTTGAAAATTCTAACTTGTTATTTAAGTTAATAAACTATCGCACAAGATAAGTATATTAAGAACTTAATATAATCGTTATTGTAATTTTTTGAATACATAGTAAAATATTAGTATTTTTAAATAAATTGTAAAAATATTTTTTCATAATGAGTTATGCACTGCAATAAACATAAATATTTTTATATGTACTTTTACATATGGTGTAAGCGTTTTTTATGAGTTTTATAATTATTTATCGTGAAAACAAATAGTAGGGTAATTCACAGTGACATACCGATTCAGTAAAAAAATTAACATTGCAAAGTATGTGTTCTTATTGTGCTTCCGAGAAAATATTTTGTAATCTGAGTGTTTGAGAAAAATTATTTTTGTTTCGATTATTGCTTATCTCTTTATTTTCATGAAGTTCGAAAAGTTATAGACAATGTAAAGGTAGGCAAATTCTTATATCTGAAAACAATTTGTATATGGTAATGTACCTAGAATTCGAAACCTCTGAATTCTTTGGCGGTATTCAAAACTTGAAAATCCCATATAAAAATCTGTTATAAATCAATTAATTTATATATTCTGTGTACACTTTCCGCAAAATATGATCAAATTAATTTTATTTGCATTCCAATAAATTAGTTTTCTTTCAAAATTACCTCACTTTAAATTTATGCGTGTGCGAATGTGTATAAATACTATTATTTATGTAAGATTTTTAAAATATAAACTTGAAAATATTTTGCAAATAATTGTATTTCGTTTATTTTACAAAAAATATTTTGTAAAAAGAAAAATTTTAATAAACAAAATTTTCTAATAAAAATTTATAAAATAAACATTTAAACTGAAATAAAATTTTTGAGTAATTTCTCAACTAAAAATTTAAAAATAATCATAAATAAGTATAAGAAGATTAATAAATTTTTGAGGAACAATTTTAACACTTCAAATGTAAAATAACAGTAGTGGTTCTTAGCCGGTACGAATACTAAAAAATCCTGTAAAATTCTCGTTTTGATATTGTCTTAAAAAACTATTTCCTCTTGAAAACATTAATATTGCCAAAATTTTAGATACGCAAAGAAAAGAAGTAAAAGGTGAAATTTATTACGTTAGAAGTGTAAGAATCGAAAAATTCTATTTCCTTGCGACTTTTCATTGATATTTCATATTTTTAACAATGACAAGACGGAGAAAATTTTTTTTTAAATTGGAAAAGAAACAAAAGTAGCAAATAAAAAAGAAAACGTCATCGATTTCAAAGCAAAATACCGAAATGCTTTATTTTTTTCTTTTTGAAATTGTGGTAATTCTTTTACAAAATTTAAGGTGCTATGCATGAATTTTATAATTAATGTTGTGTATATAAATTGAAAAATGTTTTTTGGGATAAAAAATATGAATAAATTTTCTATTTTTAAATTTCCCAGGGAGTTTCCAGTATTTTTCATTTCATTAATAATATTTTCAAATAACAAAACTATATCGTGCCCATGAACAAATATTGTGTGTTTCTGTATATGTAGCCTCATCATTTATGATGGTATTTAAAAATGAAAACTCATTGGTGATTAATATTATCTATTTTATGGTATAGTATAAAAGTGTCTGGACTTTTCAAAATAAACAATAATTGTGGTAATTTGTCTAATTTGTTATTGTAAATGTTTTGATATCTGTCAAAATGTTGATAGATATAAAGTGTAACAGTTTGAACTGAAAAAAAAAAGAATAAAATATTGAAAAAATATGAGAAAAAAAAATTGTATTAATTGAAATTTTGTTAAAATTCTATTGCAATGTTGATTTTTTAACAATAATGAGTTGACTGTGAATACGAGTTGCGTTGAATTTAGTGTTAATTTTCAATATGAGTGATATTATGGTATACAGAACATTTTTACGTATAAAGCTAAAACTAAGTATTATAACTTTAATATGCTTAACAGTAGAAACGGTAAAATTGTAGTCTTAAGTATAGGCAGTGTAATTAAGAAATTCTTTTCTTAGAGTAGCTGAGTTGCTCAGATAAGTATTCCTCAATTGGAAATGCATTAAGGATTATCTGCTTTTTCGAAATAGGTTTAATAATTCACTATAGATTAAGCAATTGGGTTTAGATTTTACTTCTAATTTGATTGCATTGGTTAAAGTTGACTTCTATCATGCTTCGATTTCTTTTTCATATATTGATGGTCAACCTATGTATGGAGGCTGCCCTTTCTTATCGGTTTGATTTTGAAAGGACTAATTTAAAATTGTTGAATGATTTCTGACCTTCTACGGCTTTCTAAAGATTGGAAAAGTTGGGTAATTTAAAAAAAAAAAACAAATTTTCAAACAAATTTTTTGGCACAAATATCCTACTTTTAAAGGCACTAGTGATTACAGCAACTTTCATCTTGCGTGTAATAATTTTAAGTTAGCATAAAAAGAACACTATAATATTTCTATTTTCAGAATTACAGACAACGTTATTCATATTCCTACAAGTTTTTTCAAATTTATTTGTCATAACAGGAAATGTTACGGCTATATTACGCCACTTTTTGGCAGAATCGTTCTCTTCTATTTTATTTTAATTTTAAATCTTTTATTTTAATTCTACTAGGTGGATGAGTTTTTCATTTATCTGTTATATTTTTATTATAATTTGAAACAAGTTGAAAACGAATCGTGGGAAACATTATTATCTCAAAAATTTTAAAAGTTACTTAATTTGACAAACTTTTTATCTTAAAAATTTAAGAATATTTGTTTTTACAATTTCCATGCTTTTAAATCCAACATTATTTTTATCTATTCATCAACAAGTTTAACAAAAATTTTTTTTGTGTTCATAAGTTTTATTTTATACGAATTTTTTTCTCCACGAGATCTCAAATATCCTCAGTTTAAGAAAATTTCCATTTTAACTTAATTACAAAGTAGCGGAAAAAAAGTATTATTGAAAAAACGCATAAAAAAATTCATTGCGATTTACAAATTTAACAAAGTGTAGGTTATTTTATCAGCGAAATTTTTTTTATTAAAATTTTGCCACACTTACAAACAAAAACGTCTATACTTTAAAGAAAAACTCTTTGTAATTTTATATTATGCCTATTATTTCAGATTTTCTTTTAAATTTTTGGATATATTTTAGCTTTAAAATACAAACTTTGAATAAATCCTAATTTTTTTTTATTTTTTCTTGCTTTTTCTTTGAAAATTGAGGCGCCAAAGTTAACAAAACTTTTCTGTATGTATATTTGTATTTAAGTACATACTTTTTAAAAATATACAATTTGTACTCCAATATAAAATGAATAAGCCAAGATATAGACAATATTTATGAAAAAAAGCGCCTTGAAATATGTAAATCCATTGGGTATTATTAAGAACTCACCACAAAAGTGAAAAAAAGCAATAACGCTCTCTTTTTCCGTATATTTTAACATTTTTCTGTTATATTTTTTAATGTCGATAATAAAAAAGTTAACAACCACATTGAATTCCCACAAAAAGGTTTAACAAAACTCTTCTGTATATAATAAGTTGAAGAAATTTTTAATGAAAATTAAATAATACAAAGGTTCCCATTTCAACTTTTATAAGAAGAATTTTAAAGCCTATAAAAAGTATACGATTTCTTCTTTGTTTTTAGATAGAGTAGAGGAGAGAGAAAGAGATGGAGTTGGCCAAAATTTCTTGCTTATTTTCGCGGCAAAATAAATTCATCAAAGAATATTCTTATAAAATATTTTGTAGCTAATATAAATAAATATTATAATAATTTTATATTTTTATATTTTTTATGTAAATATTAAATATTATACAAAATGATGTTATAATAACTTTTATTACTTTGAAAATAAATAACACAAAATTAAATTGATATTATAAAATTACTGTAATAAATATTTATGTCTTTACTTTTATGTACGTTTGCTTGTTTGTTGAATAGATTTTGGGTTTTATTAATTATTCAAATCAAAGAGGTTTCTCATCATATACTTATTACTATAGGTGCAACTTCGAAGGATTCTCATTGACGTTAAATAATGTCTATATAGTACTTTTAGCGGTATATTTGGAACATTTCTGGTTTATTGTTTTTCTCCTGATATAAATTTTTCGTTTATTGAACCATATGTAAGGGCAGAAATATCATAGCCTCGCGGTATGTTGTTATATATAAACAGTGTTTATTCGAATACGATCCAATTCACTGCCTTTGTCACATTTTGATGATGAATATAAGCAGCCCAAAGAACTATTAGGACTGTCTGAGTTCAACTTTTAGTCTGTTTTAGTTAAGGCACCTAGCGTAGTGTTGTCTTTAGTAAAATTTTAATAGATGATGTAATGGTAATCTGACAGTGTCTTTTAAACTAAAGTACATAAATGTATGTTTTTCGGAATCACTGAAAATTTAAAATCTATAAAAACATTCACTTTAAACAAAACATTTTCTTGACATTTTCAAATTTCCATTTCCGATGATATTTTAAGATTTTCTCATTATAAATCAAGGTTCAATATACTCCGAACTATAAATGTTTCGGATCTATTTTAGAAATCATGGCAGATTTTACATTTATACAGAATTTGCATCTGTTAATAAATTTAACTTCAAGGCCGTTTAATTTTATTTTTAATCAAATTTTATTTTACACGAATTAAATTAAATAAAATTGATTTGAAATTTTTTTAAACAGTTTTATGTAAACATTTTATTCAACAGAAAATACAAGGAAAAAAAATCTAAGTTTAAAAAATAAATTTAGAATAAAAAATGAAAATTAATCTTTTTTATAACAGAAAAAGAAAACAAAAAAAAAAACTCCATATAAAAAGCAGAAAACATCCTAACATGTGATTTCCATTTTTCAGTTTTTTCTTAAGAGTTCCTAAATTGAGTGCTACCGTGTTCTTAAATTTGTATTGCAGTATATAAATGGAACAAATTCGCATATCATATTCATATCAAAATTATGAATTTTATTTGACATACATAGGTAGGTGAACCAAGTGAACGAATGCAAAAGTAAAAAAGAA